AACCTTTTTGTCTAATGTGTGTTTCCTAGCCTGACTTTGCGTGGTGGTTCCCTACCCTAATGGGAAGCAAAAATTGTGTTTATGTCTTATTATTATTGGTTAACTTTTTATAGGGTATCGAAGGAGAGACTCTTTTGGTTATTTATCTGATGATTATTATGCAACTTTTATTGATATTGATTTAATTCCGTTATTTTATCTTATATTTGATGAATTGGGCGTTTGTACTTTATTCTTCCGAAGCGCGGGTCTTGATTTAATTGTCTGTTGGTCAGGTCGTGCAGTAGCGGGTTCTCGTGGGTTTCCGTTCTTCCGAATGTAGTCTCCGCGTGTTGTCTTATGTAGTTGTCTATGTAGTCTGGGTTTATGTTCAGGTCCCTATAGATAAATCTATTTGGGATATACCATGGGGCGTTTACTGCCATTCTTATTGAGACATTCAGAAATGCCTGTATTCGCTTTTTGTATGTTTCTGCGCATTGGCCCCATGCACTTGATGCATACAAAATTATTGGAAGTAGAATGGTTCTTATTAGGCGCAGCTTCAACTCTAGAGCCATGTTGCTTCTGCGACCTATTAGAGGCTGTAGGTTTTGCCTTGCGGCTTTACCCAAGTTTAGTCGTGTTGTGATGTGTTGTCTGAAGGTGAGTTTGTTATCTAGGGTTACCCCTAGATATTTAGCCTCATCTGCCCATGGTATCTGTATGTCGTTTAGTATTACGTGTCCTGTAGGTTTTGTGCGTCGTCTAGTGAAGAGAACAGCTTGGCTTTTCTCTGCGTTGATTTCTATCTTCCAGTTATTGAACCAGGTTTCTAGTGTGTCGATTTGTTCTTGTAGGTATCGTACTGTCATGTTTGCGTTACTGGATCTGGCAATTATGGCTGTGTCGTCGGCGTATAGTGCGAGTTTGTTGAAGTTGTTCGCGGGTTTAGGGATATCTGCGGTAAAAATGGAGAAAAGTAGTGGTGAAAGGACCGCGCCTTGCGGTACTCCTGCTTCTAGCTCCCTCTCTGCAGAGATTTCGTTGCCAACTTTACATTGGCATCGCCTTCCCCGCAGAAGGAGGCTATTAGCTTTACCATAGATATCGGGTACCCGTAGTCTGTCATTTTGGTCAGTAGTCCGTCGTGCCAGACCCTGTCGAATGCTTTCGAAACGTCAAGGAAGATTTCTCCATTATAATGTCCTTTTCCGAGATTGAATCCTGTAATCGCGTAATCTACTATTCTGAGAACTTGGAGTTCTGTGCAATGGTTTCTCCTGAAACCGAATTGTTCGTTTGGGATCACGTTTAATTCCTCAGACATTGTTGTTAGTCGTCTTTGGATGACTCGTTCTGCCACTTTGCTTCACAATCGTCTAGAGCCAATATTTATATTCTCTCGTCTGATTTGCAATGGGAGTACGTTACGAATCATTAATAGCACCATCTATCGACATCGGTTTGAGAGTGCATGCTATGGAATTGATATCGAAATTTCGATATCAATATGTATTCTCAAAACAATATGTGAACAATATTGCTCACATGATATAGTGAATCAGATATCAGCCAATATAAGATGATATTACATTCTGAATATTCCTGGAAAACTATTCAACCGATATGCAATTGAACTTGGAAATACAATATTGTTTTTCTCTTCCATGACCGATATAAGATATTTATTGAATTGCCGTTATTAATATTCATATTTGAAACAATATGCATTTCATGTCTTTCGCATGATATAGTTGAAACGATATCAATCAATTTGGATAAATATGATGTTTTGGATATTGTCGAATAAACATTATTCAAAAATGAGCCGTCGAACTCGAATATACAATTTTGCATAACCGCTTCAGAATCGACATTGGGAGAATGTTCAGATTGCGATATTGGTTATAATTGTTGGAAACAATATGTATACGATATCTTCCGCGTGATATAGTTGAAATGATATCAATCAATATAGGTGAATTCGATGTGCCAAATATTGTTGAAACAATATTCTACCAATGTGCCGTCGAACTCGAACATACAATATTTCATAACCGCTTCAGAATTGACATGGGGGGGGAATTTCAAATTGCTATATTGGTTATAATTGTTGGACACAATATGTATACTATATCTTCCCCATGATGTGGATAAAATGATATCAATCAACATAGGTGAATATGATGTTTCGAATATTGTTGGAACAATATTCAACCAATATGACATCGAACTTCAATATACAATATTGCATAACCGCTTCAGAATCGACATGAGGAGAATATTGAAATCACGATATTGGTTATAAATGTAAGAAACAAAATGAATACGATATCTTCCGCATGATATAGATGAAATGATATCAATCAATTTAGGTGAATATGATGTTTCAAATATTGTTAAAATAATATCCAACCAATATGCCGTTTAACTTGAATATACCATATTGCATAACCGCTTCAGAATCGACATGGGGAGAATGTTCAGATTGCGATATTGGTTATTGATGTCGGGAACAATATGTATACGATGTTGTTGTATCGACATTTGTAAAACAATATTATATAACATTTATGAATATGTTTTTCAACAAATTGTTAACGAATCTTACAACCAATATTGCTCCAATATTGTAGCTGACAATCCATATCCAGCTCAGGTTGAACCAATACTCCACCAATATTATCATTTCAATATTGTATGTCTGATATATTCTCATATTGGACCTATATTATGTTTCACATGTACGATATATCTATATCGGCCCAATATGAAATCGGGTTCCAGCCAATATGATGTGCTACCTGGGATCTATCTGAAATAACAAAGCTGCTAGTTGTTTCTGATGGGAGTGGCAACACTGTATCGATGAAACTATTCCAGACGGATAGAGAATGTTCAATTATCAAAGCATCCCAGTTTTCAGAATGTTCTGTCTCTTCGTTCTACAGATACTTCTAATAGGCCATCCACCGTGGATCACCCTGTATACAGTCTGTCCAAGATAAGGTTGAATAGCTTCATGGGGATCTCGGAAACAGTAGGAGATACGATGTCATCTGAATGGGGAAAAATTTGGGCATTCGGAGGCTCATATCAAGAGCCTCCGAAAATTCTCAAAATTATTTCTACATTTTGAGTTATATCGAAAGAAGTGAATTTTTGGAGTATCTATTTCATTTTTTTCCTCCGTTATCATTGGAGATACAGAAGAACTGAAAATCTTTTTTCGTGACAACTTTTGATGAAGTTTAACGTGGTGATACCATTTTTTTATGCGACGTTTCGTATCCGTAGAACGATCATCAACTTTTGTTTTTTAAATACGATCCTGATAATTTTTTCACAGATTCTGAAAGGTTTTATTATTCTGAATTCAACCATGTATTATACAAGGTGATTCGAATGTGTTTCAACCTAATTCTATCCATCATCACTGTTTTTTCGAACTTCCAAAGGAAAAGTGCCATCAGCTCCACTTATTTCTGATCATTTTGTGTCAAACATTGATGGATTAGTTATTCAATACTGAGAAGTGAATAAAAAATATTTCACTACATCATTCAATGCAGCGCTTGAAATTGTTGATGAATTCTTACACGAATTACTTCAACAACTTAACTTCGACAATACCTACAGAAACATTCATAACAAATGTTCAAAATGATAGTCATTTTTTCCTGAACAAAGATATCCTCTTCTCACAGTTGCTTCTTAGACATTACTAAGCATTTCTGGGGTTATTTTATTGAATCCTTCTATGACACTGTCCCTTAGTGCTTCTTCATCATCAAAGTTATTTGCGTATACAAAGTTTTTGATATATACCCTGAGAAAAAATCCAGCTGTGTCAAATCAGGCGACCGCGCCGGCCAAGGGACTGTAGAATGAGTACCAATCCATTTTTCTGGATAAAAACGCACGGACTTCTCTGGAATTATGTATCGGATCTTGTTGAAACCAACAGTTCTGAACTTCCGCAATCGGTAAATCATCCAGAGCTTCCTCAAGATGATTATCAAGCAAATTTCTATAACGTTCGGAAGTCTGTGTTCCATGGTAAATAAAAGGACCAATAATTCGTGTACCAAATATTGCAACCCACATATTAAAGCCGAAACGGTGTTGGTGTCTCGCTGTAATGTATAAATGTTCATTTTCTCGTGAACAATAATGTGTATTTTTTCTATCGAAGATACCATGATTAGTGACCAGGCTTTTCGATTGTTCGAGGGAAAATCTGCAAAAATTTGGACATTTCTTGGTATACCACTCACAGAATGTCCTGCGCCTTTCGTCATCGCCTGGTTTTGCGCTTGACAAATTCTGAATTGAAATGAAATGGGTTGTTGATTGAGACCAGTTGATGAGGTATTAAGTAGTGTGTTGATAGTTTTTCTTCAAAATAAGTGAAACTGATGGCATTTTTTCTTTGGAATTTCTAAAAAACATTGAGGATGACTAAAAATAGGTCGAAACACACCTAAAGTACCATATATAATACATGGTTGAATTCAGAAAAAAAAAACTTTCAGAATCTGTGAAAAAATTATCAGAACCGTATTTGAAGAACAAAAGTTGATGAAGGTTCTACGAATACGAAACGTCGCATACAATAATCGGTATCACCACATTAAACGTCATCGAAAGTTGCTATCAAGAAGTATTTTCAGTTTCTCTGTATCTCTAATAATAACGGAGAAAAAAAGTAAAATAAATATTCCAAAAATTCACTTTTTTCGATATAACTCAAAAACTAAAAATACCTTCGAAAATTTCCGAAGGCTCTTGATATGAGCCTCCAAATGCGCAACTTTTTCCCTATTCAACCGACTTCGTATATCCTACCGTTTTCGAGATCCCCATGCTGTTCAACCTTATCTTGGACAGACGTATATATATACTAATTTTTCATGTTCATAAATTATCTGAGAATATTCCTTCTCAATGATCTGTCAAGACTTTATCAGTTCTAAAACTACTGCTTAGCTGCTTCTTTAACCTATTACTCATTTCAGAGGAGCCTAATTTTTGAAGAAGCCAAAGAAATTCCTCAAAAGCTTCTGGACCAGCTATCAGAAGCCTTCTACATGGTGGAGAAATTCCTTCAGAAGAATGAGTATGTTGCAGGGAATCAGATGACCATTGCAGACTTCAGCTTCGTCACCAGCATCACCTCTTGGGCAGTGTTTGTGCCGCTCTCAGAAGCGCAATTTCCCAAGATTACGGCTTGGTTGAAGAAAATGAAGCAGTTGCCGTACTATAGGGAGAATCAAACCGGGTTGGATCAGTTTTTGCAGCTTATGGAAACAAAAATGCCAAAATGAACACTCAGTAAAAACATCGTTGGAACATTATGAAATAAACCTCTGGTGCGCTCACTCTTCACTGGTTTCGTCAAACTGGTTCTTGATATAAACAATTGAATTTCAGGCGATCACGTGGAGTTCACATATCGAATGTTAGATGGCTTGATTCCTAGAACTTATATGATCAACAGCACTTCTACCAACCTTGATGCGGCTAAATCGCAAAATGTTTTTCATATCTTCATTGGTCACAATTCGGTCACAATAATAAAATTGTCACATTGATGCCTGTAATTTTGGTACGGCACCAGACTAAATTTAGCGAGATTCACCCACGCCATGTTATGTTAATCGAAGTAGGCGAGAATCAAGAAATTGTAAAACGGGAAAGGATTGAAGTGCGTACACCAGAGGTTTATTTCAGCAATGTTGGAACCACCTAAAATCTCTGGATATATTATGACTATGCTATACGTAAAAACAATATAAATACTTTATTATTATCATCTACATTTTTTGTTGTTGTATTTCGAGGCCAAGTGAAGTGTTCGCGAGTGTTCGGCTCCCTAAGGAAGACAGCTCTTTGGTCTATACAGGGTGTTCCAGAGATGTGGTGACAATATCCTAGGGTAGTTTTCTCTCAACAATATAAAGGGTTTCCCAAAAGAACCGGATCGTGGCGATATGACTATAAAAAATAATTTATAAGGAAGTTTTCAGCAAGTCTGATCTAAAAATACATTCACAACGTTACCAAATCTACATGTTGTTCATACTTAATCTTCCTAAGTATTTATTTGAACTGCCTTTTTGATTATTGAGCATTTTATTTGATGTCATGAAGTAACAATCTTGTGACCTAAACAAATCAAACTCTATTGATCATGAGAAGCTATCAAGAAGTTTATGAATTAATTTCCCGACAAAAAAATGAAAACAAATCTCTAAATACTTAGGAAGATTTAGTATAAACAACATGTAGAATTGGCAACGTTGTGAATCGTATTTTCAGATCAGACTTGCTGAAAACTTCCTAACAAATTAATTTTAATTGTCATATCTCCACGATTTCTCAAAATATTGAAATTTTGTGATATTTTTTGACGAAACGTTCATTCGTCATATCAACAAAATTAAAGGAAATACAAATTTGATATTATTGGTTATAGTATTTTTGAGACGACAAATCGAATGCGCTAAAAATAAACATAACATTACATTTAAAAAAATGAAGTTGAGGGCTCTATAGGAAAATATGTAAAACTGGCAACGTTGCAAATATTATATTTTGATCCGGCACAACTGATTACCCCCGTATACACGGTATACCAGATTTCATAATTTTCTGTCAAGCCGTTGCTGAAATATTCGGCCGTTCCGGTTCTTTTGGGAAACCCTGTATAAAGAAGTTTATGGGCCTGAAAATGCTTCGAGTCCAAGATACAGGGTATCTAAGTTTGATGAAAAAAAATTTTTTTCAACATCTTCAAAACGCTCAAGCCAATTAGAAGATTTCAATGGTTTATTCAGACATTTATCAGATATTCACTGAACTAATTAGACTTGATCCAGGGTTTCCAGGGGCGTACCCATAGAGCAAGTCGGCTTTTTTGTAGGAAAAAAGTCACCCTGATTTTTTTTCGGGTTCTTCTCGAGTATCCAGATGAACCCACTGGAAATACAACATTCATGTTTCGTGAATTTTTTTCGTATCTCGCTCCGTTTCAGAGAAAAACAGACAATTCCTTACCTCGGCATACCTATTTCTGAAGTCCATGAGGAAAGATAAAAATGCTTAGATATTGTCCAAATTGCACATTATAATTCATGAGAATAAAAAAATTACATGAAATTCGATACCCTTCCTGAAATGTAGGTATAAGATTTTTTTTATCGCTTGAGCGCACGAAAGGGAATTCCTATAATGTTCAAAGAACATCGTGCGTTCCTAGGGAGGATAGGGACAGGAGGTAGGTATTGGAATTTTTTTGAACTTCTGGAGATTATATGTTGTTGGGAATACTTCCTCAGACAATGAATTCCAGAGCCTAGCCGTTCTACGGATGAAGAAGTTTTGATAAAGTGCTGATGGACATCTTTCGAGGTTGACAACGAAAGGATGTGCTGACTGGGCTTGTCCAGTTCGTCTGACTGGTATTGCTAGTGAAGGGATGATAGCAGAGATTTCCGAAGAACAATTCCCGTGGAAGTATCGATAGAAAAGTGAAGGGTCCCCGACCGTTCTACGGTGTTCCAATGATGTCAAAGAGTGAGTGAGTGTGGCGTCACCCACCAGGCGATTGGCTCTTCTCTGGATGGAATCTAAGAGCATCAGCATATGTTTTGATGCTGAACCCCATATGTGGGAACAGTATTCTAGAACAGGCCGTATCTGCGCTTTGTAGATCATGAGAAGCTGTTGAGGTGTGAAGTAGCTTTTCGCACGTAACAAGAATCCGAGTTTTTCTGGAGCACAGCTTTTGCGATGGATCTGACATGATTATCCCATGAAAGAGTGTTGCTGATGGAAATACCGAGCATAGATATGGTGGGCTTGGTGGAAGTGGTGGTGCCATAGACATTACAATATCGGGTATAGTGAGTTCCGCCTTTCTAGAGAAAATACAGGCTTGAGTTTTGGTGGCGTTGAATTCAACTAGGTTATTGGTTGTACCTTCAAATTCAGTGAGAAATATGTTTCCAGAAAAACTCTTTTCTCTTTACTTGGATGCCTTATATCGGCTTGTACGAGGGGTACTACAGGCTGATTTTAGGAATAGTGATGTTGACATCCTTGTACATATAACAGAGAGTGAATGAGTAAAAAACAACTCAAGATCCTGTGCACCGCAAATTTTTATAAGTAACTATCATTCATCCCACTCGAGTATCTTTGGAAAATGATGACGTTGATGAAAAATAATGATGTACTGAAAATAAAAGCTTTCATCATTATTTTCGGCCATAGATAACACGTCAGATTTTTTCATGATTCATCAGACGAAAACAATACAAATAAAGATCATTCGACCCTCACTGATTTTCAATTACCTCCATATCAAGCGAAATGTCGTTTACTCCATGGAAATCAGGCTCTTCTAGTCCAAACCACAGATAGCATGCCAAATTTGTTGTTCTTGACCATCATCAACTCCATTTATGAGAGGAACGGCGATAAGCGCGAATTAGGAAGTTGGAAAATCGAGGAACGTTTCTAACAAGCAATTTTTTTCTCCAATCTACAAGAGAGAACTGATTAATTGGCGGTAAATTGCCGGGCCATAGCCGTCAGCATCGGATATATGTCGGCAGCGGTAAACCGATATCGGCAAAATGTTAGAATGACATTGGCTGTGTCTCCACGGCTTAAGTGGATGATATCGATGATACTTCAGTTTCTCCTCTATTAAGGGGTAGAAGACGAGGTAAATATTTGAAATTCCAGAACGGACTCCGTCTTTCTCACTAAATATCTCCGCCTCGCCGAAATATAGATAAGTGAAGGGTTTCTAGATGCTGTGAGATAAGTTGCCGTGAATTTTCAAAGCGTCTCTTCTGTATGAAAGTTAGAAGGGTCATTTTATAGCATGAATGCGAAACTGCTGTTTCTTTTCTCACGATGATTTCATCAAAATTCTCTTGATCAATTCACCATATTTCTCGACTTTTGAGTGAAATAGGAATTTCCACAAGGATACAAGGATTATATTGTTATTGAATATATATATTCATCAGTTTGCTGTACATTGACCGATATGGGGAAGATTCTATTAGAAACTATAGGACAAATTTGATATACAGGGCGATTCATGAAGAGACTCAAATAGCCAAATGGTGAATGGGGGAAACAAAACAAGTTGAGATTCATGTTCTCTTGTTATATAGAGAAAGCTCATTTTGTGATCAGTTTTCTAGAAAAATTTCATCAGATTCAGGGAGATTAGACATAATGCCATGAGAACTGCTCTTCAATTCGCACGACACTTTGATCGGTTCATTAAAAAATATGAACCAAACGTTCCAATGAATTTTCAATTTGAGCCTAGCTGATAACTCTCTCATTTCAACTGGATTCATGTGAATTTACGATAGGAATCGACACATATAAGTAGTTGATAAAAAACCACAGAACTACTTTTTTGGTGATTTGAAATGTTCGTTTTTGATCGACATCGTGACTCGTTTCTCTTCACAAATATCAATGAAGTAATAATGAAATAGTATAGGCGGTGTTTTTCATCAGTTGACGTGACGTGACATCTGTTGATAATCCGAAAAGATGGGTACTGGTGAAATTATGGCATGAAGATTTTCATAAGTATTATTAGGATGTTCTGAATATTCGAGATAAATCTGTCGCTTCCTTGTTCACGAAAGTGTGCTGCTGGGCAACACCATGACGAGTGGTATTTCAACACAATTGAGTTAACAATGAAAAACAGAATCATGAGAACATATTCAGAACGGAGTTGTAATTTGCTAGACTATTTCACGTTCACGAAGCATAAAGAGAATTTCTTATAAATGAGCGATTCATATTCTGACGACAGATATAATTATTTTATGCCAAACTGACAGAATTTGCTCCGCTATACATGGTTACATCTTTGAAAACACCAACGCTGATAGACCAATCAGAATTGAAAGACCGCTTGTGTTTTCGCGATTACACACATTGTGATGTGATTGGTCAGATTATGTAATAAATGAAATAAGTATATTGATTAACGAGCACGGAATGATAGTGATTTCATACGAGAATAAAGTTTGCAGCATGAGCCATATTGGCGAATGCTGCCATAATTTTTCTACGGCTATAATAGATAACAGCGACATTTTCGATTTCTTCGTCTTGTAGCCATTTGATTTCCTGTCCAGTAATGCTCATCTATTAGACAGCGATGTCATTGCTTCAAATTTGACATTCCATGAGCGATGAGATTTTTTTGTTTTTTGAAATAATAACACGATGGAGTCATTGTGACATCAGATACGGAAATAATATCGATGATATACATAGTACCTCATTGACGTATCGAACACAGTTAAACAAGAGCAATTGTGTTGTTACAGCCGTAGAAAGGTTTTACTCCTATACATATTCATGGATTTGTGAATCTTTTATGGTATTGAACATTGCAAACATTCGAACTTTTTCTATGTTCAGCATTTGAAAAATAAAGTTACATCATGAGTGCAAGAATCACACGTCACATAATGAAATAAAAAATAGGGCACGACTACTGATATCTATCTAGAATTTCGATCAAGAACATTTCAAATCATCAAAGAAATCAGTGTTAGTGGTACTGTGCTTTTTCTTTTTCTCGTTCGCTCTTTTCTGTCAATTTTTACCCAACAAAAATGTTCAAAAAATCTATCCAGTTGAAAGTACTGTTCGTCACGTCGAAATTGAAAATTCATTCGAACGTTTTTGTTTTATATTTCTTCATTGATCCGGTCAAAGTGTCGTGCCCTTAGTCGTGCGACTAAGAACTTCCAAATTGCATCTCATCAAAAGTATTCATTACTCAAACTGTGTATTATTAATGATGTGAATGATTTCCGTAATCCCAGCGAGAACACAATATGATCAGATCGACTATCGGTGACTTCGATGCATGTATTACGCTATTCAAGACTCGAGAACATATATAACCGTTATCGCATATCAACATAAATAGATATTTTGAATTGACTCGGCCGTACCAGTATATCACCTGACGAAGCTACATGTCGTGTGTTCGAGAATTTTGTGGAAATCTTATAGTTTGTGGAGTTTTTACATAAATAGATATACCTACACTGGTACGCGTGCTTCCATGACGCGAGTCTGCCGGTTTACTTCCATCCCAGAAAGTGCCTAACTGCCTAACTGGCTAGAAATTATCGCTCCAGAAATCAATTAATTTCTCACTATTTATATTTCAGCATTCTCCAACATCATAAGTAAGTACATGAATTACATGAACTTTTGACGCATTCGCGTTGTCATTATGATTGTCATTTGGAATTAAATGTCATCAAACAACTCAAGCATGTGAGATAGAAACATGGACTCACTTGATTATACCCAAGTACTACGTGTTTTTATGGGCCAAAAATTTGTTATCATGATGAAAAGAACGTGTCTTCATTGGTTAAGATCTGTATCATGATAGAAATCCGAGATAATTAATTCGCTTCTTATAAAATGGGAGTAGGAAAAATTATTCATTCGGAAAAGATGAGTTCAACAAAAAAGGTATGCCTTGTTTTTTTATGTAAACCATAATTTTCTACCTACTGGAGCTATTGAACGTTCCAGAATTTGCGGTTGATTAGAATTCATCATTTATTTGGGGCTGATAATGAAGAGAGAAATTTGACCCATTCTATAGTATTTTAAAATTATTGAATTTTTGCACATGGAGATTCGAAAACATAAGTAACAATACTGTGAAGTTAGTTTTCCTACAAAAAATCCTGATTCATGAAACCCATTTCGCACTCCTTCGTGGTTCTTTGGAGACCTGCAGAACATCTCTTTCCAAAGACAAACACATTGCCAAGGGAGGTGTTCCTCAAGGCATATAACCACCAGAAACTTAAGAAGAACACCAAATCCTACTTTACTTCCCTCAGTTCTCACGATGTTTTCTGAACATTACAGGATATCCTTCTTCGTGGAAACCAGAACATAAAGTTTGAAATGAGCTCTGAAATTCAACAATTCCGAACAACGCATAGACTCATAGTTTACATAAAAAATGATGAGAAACGTTGCAAAAATCAATTCGGGTGCCTATGACGACACAGAGGAGAAATTGAATGCCAATAATTCATTGTCAGTCCACTCGCCCGTTCCACGACATACTTTCCTATTTTATTTTGACATGTTTCAAAATAGTGTGATATATCTGAACTAAATATATTTAATTCAATACAATTCGATTCAATTCAATTCGATTCTGGAGAACAGTTACAAGTTTTGAATGGACAGTAATACAAATAGTCCAATAAATAAAGGGAAAAAGTTAACATTAATTACGCACTATTTTCATCTTCCGGTTGAAAGTAGCTTTTGGTACCTCATTGAACATGAGACAAAGTTTGACTGGAAAACGCGTGCGATGGCGGAGAAAATGGCCCCAAAAGACCAGAAAAATAGGTTTTCAGCCAATATGTCCTAGAATATGGCAGTTAGAGATTTTCGGTTCATATAAAAATTGAAGTTAAGTTAATTTTCTACAAAAATAGACCTTATCATTTTTCTCGAAAATTTTCCCGGTTTCGAGAAAATCGGCACGAAGCGCACCTCGAATAATGAGCTTCTGATGTATGCCGGGAGCACAGTCCGTGTATTTACACATCGGCGGGGGGACAAATTATTCAATAACTTTGTTAAAAATGCATATTTTCTCATGATTCAGAGTTCATGTGAAAGAGGAATTCTGCTGCTATCATACCCTGTGAATTGAGTCACACTTGACTCTTTTGGCCATATCGGAAGATGGATCAAACTTTCTGCTCCCGGTCAATTTTGACCTCGCCAGGAATTTGTTCCTATTTTTTTTGTATTGCACTAATTTACTCAAAATTTTCATTTGATCTTTGTTTATTGAATCACAATTTTTTGCTGTTTTTGGAGCGCGGGGAAATTTAGTGAACCACCATCAATTTAAATTGTATACATGATCCGATTGGTTTCTGTGATACATCATTTGAGAGCTAAGAAGGTATACTTTTCGATTGTGCAATTACTTTTTAGACGAGGGCGTCCATTTTTCAATGAAATCAGAAAAAGCGGGGTCAAGGAAAAAACGCACTTTTTTTTTCGGTGGTTTTTTTCTCCGTGCTCTTTATTTCTAACATTTTAACACCTTAACTAGTGTAACGGGGGAATTCTCATCTTTCCATCGATGTATATGAGTCATACCTTTGATATCCCGGGAAAAAACAGTATATCTAAATGTACACGCTATAATTTATTACTTTCGTTCCTCCGTCGTTCGCCGCGTGTGTGCTCTACGTGGCGCTTGGGTCGTCTGCTACAAACCATGCGGCCGCGCAGGGTATGATAGCAGCAGAATTCCTCTTTCACATGAACTTTGAATCATGAGAAAATATGCATTTTTCAAAAAGTTATTGAATAATTTGTCCCCCCGCCGATGTGTTAATACACGGACTGTGCTCTCCGGCATACAACACAGAAGCTTATTATTCGAGGTGTGTTTCGTGCTGTTTTTCTCGAAACCGGGCAAATTTTCGAGAAAGGGATAGGGACTATTTTTGTAGAAAATTAACTGAACTTCAATTTTTATCTGAATCGAAAATCTCTAACTGCCATATTTTAGGAGATATTGACTGAAAACCTATTTGTTCTCCGCCATCGCACGCGTTTTCCAGTCAAACTTTGTCTCATGTTTAATGAGGTACCAAAAGCTACTTCCAACCGGAAGATGAAAATAGTGCGTGATTAACGTTAACTTCGCCTTTTTCTCCTCCTTCATTTATTGGACTAAAAGTGTCTGAATAGACAGTTACAAATGCATTAATAGTCAGTTGTATGTGTCTATTCAGAAACAAAAAAATGTGACGTGAACCTTCTACGGTTTCGTTTATTTTCAATGCAAACCATTTTTTTGAGCAACCGTATATTTCATTGAAATCCACCCATATATTTCCTGGTCTTGGTTCTGAAATACAGATGGATCAGCTCCAAAACGCAACCGTTACTCCACCCGAATCCCGCCTGTATGTGGTACTCCCCCCCACCACCGAATTGGCCGCTGTTCTGCGCGTTGTACTTCTCGAACATAACCTTGTTCTCGTGCCAGGCCCTGATGTTGGAGTTCACCCATTTGTGCGCCAACTGCCTGGCCTCTTCGATGGCCGTTCCATTTTTGGACTTGTCCAAACCTGCAATGAAACCACCGACTTATCAACAACAGATGGAAGATTCTTTATTCCCGATTTTTTGGGATCTTCTCTCCTCATCTCTATAAAATGAAAATATGAATACTATTTCAATATACGTGTAGTTAGGACAGATCAGATGATTTGCCTCAAGATGTCACTGCGCTCAAAGAATTGCCCTATTAAAGCCTTATGAAAATCAAGAGTCAAGTCCCAGAAGGGAAAACTTGACGAGCACTGAAGGTGCTCGTAATAACCATTTTTGGTTGTAAGACAGGAAAGGGGTCATCTTTGACCATAAGTTAACATGGAATCAACACCTACAAAAATTTTTTCAAAAAAGTACAGTAGCCTTCAATCTGTGCAGACGAATGTGCGGAAAAAATTGGGGACTGCAACCAAAAATGACCACATGGCTCTATGCCAGCGTCATCAGGCTTATGATAGCATATGGATCAGTAGTTTGGTGGCCAAAGACACAACAGGCTGGAGTGATTCGAAGGCTCAGTGCTATTCAAAGGCAAGCGTGCCTGAGTGCCACTGGTGCAATAAAAACCACTCCAACAGCCGCTTTAGAGGTCCTCTTGAACCTACCACCACTACAAATATATATTCAAGGCGAAGCCAGAGCAGTCGTGAGTAGATTGTCAAGGGGTCAAGCACCCATAAGCAACGCGCACGGTAAAGACTATAGGAAGCTATATGGAGAGTTGGAAAGCGACCCCATCATGGGAATGCCAACGGATGGCATAATTCCAAAATATAGCTTTGAAAAAACTTTTAAAATGAGTATAACGGACAGAGAGGCATGGAAGGAAGGACCTCCTATCAATGCAAACGTTGCTGTCTATACGGACAGCTCCAAAACTGAGGAAGGATCAGGAGCTGGTATTTATAGGGCCAAGCCAAAGACAAGAATCTCACTGAGCTTAGGCAAATACGCGACGGTGTTTCAGGCAGAAATTATTGCAATACATAATTGCGTGAAAGAATTGATAAGGCAAGAGTTTAAAGGCAAAACCATTGCAATCTATTCAGGTAGCCAGGCGGCAATCAAAGTAGTCAACTCTATGCAAGTTAACTCAAAACTAGTATGGAACTGCTTAGAAACCCTAAATGCACTAGTCAGTCAGAACAGATTGACTCTAGCATGGGTACCAGCACATACAGGGTACGAGGGCAATGAAGAGGCGACTCACTTGCCCGAGCAGGAGCAAACAAAGCTCTTAATGGCCCAGAACCCTTCTGTGGTATTGCGAAACATATACAAAAGACTAGTATCGAATCATGGATGCAAACCAAATCTCAAGAATGGTGGAACAAATCGCCAGGAATGAGACAGGCAAAAGAGTTTATTAAAAAACCATCGCCAACATTCACAGAATATCTACTAAGTCAGAAACGAAGTTCAACTAGAATACTAGTGGGAATTCTCACAGGGCATTGTAGGTTCAACAAACACATGAGTACGATAGGTCTGATTGAAGAACTGCTGTGCAGGTTCTGTCAAGAAGAGGAAGAAACAGCAGTACACATACTTTGCCACTGTGAGGGCTTGTCAAGACGAAGGTTCCTTACGCTGGGTGAGGAAAAACCAGGAGCCCAGAGATACACAGGAGATCTGAAAGCTAGCCTATAGAGTCTCATAGAGAAGGCGGGGCTAGCCAAAGAACTCTAATCGATTTTGAGGGCAGACACAATAGATCTGAAAAGGTCGCAGTGTGGAGGCAGATAGCCCGAAGGCCCCATTCCAAATCTAATCTAAAATCTAAGACAGGAAAAAACCAAAGGGTCCCGTACCCTTGAGAGAGTGCACTTACATTCAAAAATCATTTTAGAATTGATGGGGCCAAAAGCCAAATACATGACTGCATTGAATTTTTCAATTCTCTAGAGTTTATCAAAAACCAGATTTTGTTTTATGTTTTTTTGCACCTCCTCTGGTCTCATCTTTTTCATTATTCATTTGCTTATATTTTGGATTTGCTACTCAACTATCAATGTTGGAATTTTCCTCCCACTCCCCAAAATCTCTTCATTGTCATTTCTGTTTGAATTATTTCTATTGGGCTGTGACTTATTCACGTCATTCATCACGTCAAACGACGTCAACTCCTGACGTCACCTTGGTCATTCAACTGACGTAAAAAGACGTCCCTGAAACGTCATCTGGTTACCTGGGTAGTAACTTCTGAAATAAGACTGGAGATGGACTTTTATGAGTCTGAAACATATCCCTTGCATTGACTACATCATTATTAAAAAATACTAAATAATACACGAAGTCATCTCTGATTGGTACATGTTTTGGACATATATATGTCCATCATCAGCTTTATGAGAAATTACATAAATAGTGTCCTAAAATTATAATGGTTATTAGTACAATCGACAAGTTATGAATAAGAGTGCTCACATGGGGATAAAAAAATAGGTTATGTGACCAACTTTGACATTTTGGAAATGTTTTCTTTGTTTGGGTTCCAAGAAAATCATCAAATGGGAAAACCCAACAAACCCCCGGAAATTACCAGACAATATTTCATTGTAATAACCATCAAATGGCACATATGGATGCAACATTGGAATTGGAAACATGTCCATCTTGTCCTGTACCAGCACACGACGGATATCACCTGACCAGGCGGAAAGAACCACGGCATGTGTCACACGACGAGTCAATAAAAAAAACCAGTGGCACGAGACAACATGGTGGTGCTCGGCCATCAGTGAACTGGTAAAAGGAAAGAAGAAGAAGAAGTTTGCAGGAGAATATTCAAAAATTTTTGTATGATAATTTTATTTTGTGAAATGTAAAGAATTGAAAAATTTCAGGCTATATCTATCATAGTGGGTTTGTTCATTCAGTGAAATGACATTGGTGTTACTCAAGGAATTGTTGATTTCAAAAATCTCTAACAGATTCAATAATTTCCTTCAGTTTGGAATGGTATCAATTCACTCTTATACAATAAGTCAAAAAATCAGACTGATAATATCAAATATATCAAATTGAATAATATCAAAATTGAAAGTAGTCATTTGATGAGTGATGCAATCAATAATCACTTAATCAATGTTGGTCCAAATTTATCTTCGAAAATACCTCCAATTTCTGGAACATTGGATGATTGTTCACGTGTTTCATCTATGTTCCTAACACCAACAAATATTTCAGAAATTGAAAATATAATCAATAACTTGGATGTACGGAAATCTTGTGGATTTGATTTCATATCTGTAAAAATTGTTAAAGTAATCAAATCTGAATTAACTCCTATCTTGTTGAAAATTATTTCCAAATCTTTTGAAACTGGTATTATTCCTGACAAATTGAAAATTTCTAAAGTATTGCCAATATGCAAAACTGGTAAGAGAGACGATATGAATAATTACAGGCCAATATCAGTCCTCCCTATTCTTTCTTGAGTTATAGAAAAAATCATGAATAATCGTCTTCTTGACTTCCTTGAAAATAATAATCTATTGTACATTGGTCAATATGGATTCCGTAGGTCAAAGGATACAGAGATAGCTGTAATGGATGTAATTTCGGATATCCAGTCACGGATTGATGAAAATTATGAATGTGGCTTCTTGTCCTTGGATTTATGTAAGGCATTTGACACTGCAGATCATAAAATTTTACTAAATAAATTATATTCAATCGGCGTGAGAGGAAGAATTCATGATTGGTTCACACATTATTTGACGAATAGAAAGCAGTATGTTGAAGTGAATGATCTTTCTGGCTCACTAAAGAATATTACATGTGGAGTACCGCAAGGATCAGTTCTGGGACCAATTTCATTTTTAATTTTTATTAATTCAATATCAACTCTGAAATTGAAAAGAAAGCTAAAATTATTTGCGGATAATACAACATTGATTTTTATATCGAAAGAATTAAATGATATCGAACGGGATATTACAAGTGATTTGGAAAACATATCATCTTGGATGCAAATTTATAAGTTGACTCTTAATTAAGTATAACAAATCTTCATATATGTATATTTCCAAAAGATCAGTGATTATTTCGAATAATGCTATAACTTTCAACAATAGATTAATTAAATTCACAGACGTGACAAAATTTTTAGGTCTCTATATCGACGGAAAATTATTATGGACTAAACATATAGACTATTTGAGAAATAAAATAAATCCGATCATAGGCATTTTAGTCAAAATCCGAAATATTATTCCAATAAAATACTTGAAATGTATTTATTTTTTCCTCATTTATTCAAATTTGCGATATTCAATTTCTATTTGGGGAAGTACAAATATTTCACGTCTGAAACCACTAATGAAATTACAAAACAAATCAATTAAGTGCATTTTTCATCTACATTTTCTAGAACCAACGATAAATTTATACAAACCAAGACATTTATTGAACCTGATTTCGTTATATAAACTTAAAATATGTAGCTTTATTCTTTTTGCCAGGAATAAATTGAAAATATCAAATTTAGCTTTCAATGAAGTCAATACAGTCCATAATTATGGGACTAGACAATTGAATTACTTGATAGCAAATACATTCAAGTCAAACATTGGCAAACAATCTGTTTTTCACAATGGAATAATTTTATACAATTCATTACCGAATGAGTTAAAAAATATAGGTACATGATGCGAGGAGGTTTGAAATCAATCTTAAAAAATACTTGCTCAGGACAATTTGATTGAAAAATATGTGGCATGATTTGATTACTTAGGAATGAAATATAACTTTAATCTTATAAGACACAATATTAATTCGTTTCCACTGAGTGGAATTCATCATATAGTTAACCCTTCATTATTATTTTTCTATATGTATTCATGTATCCCTATCATAAACAAAAATGTTTCTTGGGGTAATAAAGACAATCAATCAATCAATCAATCATGAAACTATTAGAAATCAATAATTTTTTACTATCAACAACACGAACCACATAGGATATCAATATGAAACTCAACAGTATGGATTCCGTGAAGTTCTGTTGAATCGATAGTAATATCCGAAGTAATAACCCTATAATACCTGTAATACTGTAAACTCAAAAATGCATATCTCAGAAACGGAACTTAAGTCGCTGATTAAACGTACGTTCATGAACATAAGATGAATTTTATGAAAAAGAAAACAAATTCAACATACGCCAACTTAGAAGAAAACCATAGTTTTGATGATAATTTCGCAATTCTGCACGTAGAAAATGAAGGACTGAAACTCAATCATTTTGAATCATTAGAAATCAAAAACTCAAAAATCTTGACATTTTACTTAATGATCAATTAGAACTCAATAGTTCACCACTGTTGAATTTGTTTTCTTAGTACGTAATAATATGTATTTGATATCAACTCTATCAAGTTAATCCGGTATACCGTAATTTATTGTAGATATTGTGCCTAATTTCCGAAAATGGAGGTTTATCGTACCTGTCCACAGGTAACTAATCCTTCAGGTTGGGAAGGTAAGATATATAAAAGTCAAGCAAGCCAAGGTTAGGTTAGTTCATTGTACATGTATATCACCTGACGAAGCTACTGTGTTAGCGAAACATGTCGTGTGTTTGAGAATTTTGTGGAAATCTTATCGTTTGTGAAGTTTTTACATTTATCATGGATTTCCATCAAGTAACGGCCGAGTCAATTCAAAATTTTCAGGCTATCTATCATAGTGGGTTTGTTCATTTAGTGAAATGACATTGCTAAAGTTGTGGAGATGACTTTAAGCTTTCCTTTTTTCTTTCGAAATAAATAACGAACAACGAACCTATGATGATCAAGTTCTGGTAGGGCGACCACGCGTTCGGGAAGTCCCATTGCTGGCCGGTGGGGAAGAGCGAGGCGGGGATTCCCCCCCGGTAGTTGGTGATGCCCTGGCTGCGCAAGTATTCTACTGCCTTGCCACCCCTCTCTTCCCTAACGGACTCATCGAAGGCGCCCGCCCACAGGGGGATGAAGTTGCTGGCAAAGAAGTAGCGTCGCGGTTTCTCCAGCTTCAGGTCGAAGTCGTACCTGAGAATAATGATCAAATTTGTTGTGGTGAATGAGTTGTTAGTGAATCTCACATTGACATTGGGAAACTGAAAAAAAAAACTAGCCAGCGCCGCAATTTCAGTCAGATTACGCATACAGAACCCAGATAGCACGGGACGTCCCGAAGACGTCCATTTTAGGTCCATTTTTGGTCTGAACGTCCAGGACCTTTTATGGACGTTTTCAAGACGTCCATTATTGGACATACTCTGGACGTCCAGAAAAAGACGTCTTTAAAACGTCCAATTTACAGACTCTCACGGTATATCAGTTTAAATTGATATAAGTGGGTAGGTATACCGCGTGTCCCAGTTCACCTGTTCCAATAGATTATCTCAGCCATTTCGAGAGATGAAAATCTGAAAATTACATGATCTACTACAATTTCAATAATCTGAAATTATTATTGAAGTCAAAATCGAGATGATAAAAATATCGTAGCCTACTGCAAGGCGTTTAATTTGAAATTTCGATTGTCATGTTCTCCATCAAATCAGATTTAAAATACGAAGAGTGAAACATCGTTAGAATGATAATTTTGAGTAGAAATCAAAAATTGCAAAAAATATACAGGGTGATATTTGAAATGAAGAAGTTAGAGTCACTTCCGGTCAAACCGGAAGTGACTTTCAATTTTTGTTTTTCTCAGTTGAAGCTTCCTTGAACGAATTGGAGATCATGAGCTTTTCGAATTTTTATTTCTCGAAATGGCTGAGATAATCCATTGGAACAGGTATACTGGGACACCCGGTATATTAATTTTAAAATTGGAATTATTGAATGGAATATGGACATGAATGATGTCAAAAAATATATTATATATCAGCTGTATCAATATATTGAATTTCATTTCATTATTAATATTATGAATTTGAAATATTCATGATTTCAACTGATTTGTACCTACTTATATAGTTATGTTGAATTATATTACTTCAATCACATAATACCTATACAGTTTGACCATTCTTAAACCCACACTGAAGTATTCATACAAGCCGCGCTTTCATAATAAGATTTTTTTTTATCGCTTGGAGCACACGAAAGGGAATCCCTATAATGTTCAAAGAACATCGTAGAACGCATGCGTGCTCAGCGTTGCCAGACTTACTATTTTAGCAGTAGATCTACTGTTTTTGTCTCCGTTCTACTGTTCAACTATTCAAGGCAATGGTCTGATTGGTCATGTTTTGATATGACGTAACTACCTTATATGCAACAATGAAAAATTGATGGGACATCAAAGTAAGAAGATGCATGATAAAAATATACTCCAACTATCATATTCAGTCTGATTAGTGAAAATTAGCTTTTATTTTCAATCTGGTTGCGGTTTTTATAAATTCTATTCTTTATTTCATTATTTTTTGTTATTCTTCGTTCGATTTTTGATAGGTATAGAGACCGAACATGATTTTTTTTCGTTTATCATATAGGTGACTATGTTTTTTCATTTACGATAGCAAATTGTGATGATTATCAAAATCTTCTGTTCAGTTTTGATAATCTACTGTTTTTCCCGACCCATCTACTGCTCCGACAAATTTTCATCCGGCAACACTGTGCGTGTTACATGAAACGAAAACGTAAGATGATAGATGATGGGGAAGGGAAATGGGATGATGGCGTCCGTCAGTTGACCACTGTCGAGTGCCGATTAAACTGTGATTCAGGTCCAAGAACATTCTGAACTTTTCGGGTTATTTGACTGTAAAAGAGCAGTGAATAAGTGGAATCTTTGCGGATATCATCTATCAACTGGTGAACTTCGATCTCGAGTTCCATCGAGATGTTTATTTGTGCTAACAGCAGCATGAAGGCAAGTATGGCCATCGACGCTATCGTTTTATTTTCATTCGCTTGAAGATGCTTGAGTGAGAACATAAACATAATATAATTCGTGCAAGGTTCATAGAGGTTATATAGGTATACCTACCTAAGAATCAGTTTATGTTTGGAATAAGTGAAGTATTGCGCTATACTGACTACTACACGTTGAAAGTGGGTGTGTGTTTATGGTTTATGGTATTCACAGAAGATGTTACTGAATATTATTATCATTTACAGATCCAGTGAAGAAGACAACAGAAGGCTGCCAATTAGAAAAAGACATCATCGCGCCTGCGTACCTGGATGAATCACGCGACGTTTTTTAGTGGTGCAGCTGCTGATATACGATAGTGAAGAGTGAAATTGTAACAACTACCTGAATCTCTGTTCATATTATTGTTCGCGAATAAATGTTAACTAATATTCAAGTATTTCACTCTTCAGATGGGTCAGAAAATCAATAATCAATATTGTCTGAATGTCCTCAATACGTCCATTTTTCATACCAAAAAGGTCCTAGTCTGGACCTAAACTGGACGTCCCCAAAACATCCTGATTAGTAACAATGGACGTCCTCAAAACGTCCATAAGACGTCCGTCGTCCGGAAATGGACGTCCCCAAAACGTCCTGAATGTCCAGAGTGGACGTTTTTAAAACGTCCATAAGACGTGTGGCGATATCTTCTTAAAGTGTTTAGGCAACCCATCGTACACTGAGAGGACAGGTGGGTTGTGGAGATTACCTACCTGTAAGTACATACCGACCAGTGTGGGGTTGTTCTTTCTGTTTCTGCTTCCCGCTTGCTTGTACGGCAGTACCTATAGTATTATAGTCGTAGTATAGTGTACATTTAATTTTGCACCCTAGCTCTCTGGTGATTCCGGCCATAGACTCGTGCTACCCGGTACCTGCTCAGGTATGTTACATAATATCATTTATTCCCTGGGCTTGGGGCTGATGACTGTGTTAGGTGTATTCCGGTAGGTGAATAGTGGATTTATTTCAGGGTCGTAATCTTGCCGATGTACTTTCTGAATTGCAAATGAAGTTGATAAAACGTGACTGGTACGTTGTTGGCTGGGTGAATGGTACAAGCAGCCGCCATATTAGATATCTTTGATAGTGAACAACTATATCTCCTATCCTTGATTATTCAAAACTGTATCTGAATACAATCACTCGTTTTACTGGAAATCAAAACAATTGTACATTTCACGAAAGTCCAACCCAGATAGCACAAGTACATCTTATGGATATTCTACGGATATCCATCATGGATATTGTGGATGTCCATAATATATCCAAAATATCCATGGTATATCCTATGGACGTCCATAGGATGTGACAGTGTGACCTTTTTGGATGTCTTAAAGATATTTATTATGGATATCCATAAGATATCAACTATGGGTATGGATATATAGAAAAAATCACAAAAATTGGGAAGCACTCACGTCTCACTGCGTTCGAATTATGTAGCTGTCAGTTCTTATGCATCATCAATTTTGGACGAATTCGTAGTAATCACTTCCAAATTCAATTCAAATTAATGAAATATGAGAACAGATTGACATTATTTGACTATTTCAAGGTTGGTAGAATCGATGATCTATAAATAATCATCAGTTCTACCAATCTTGGACTATTTGAGACGTTACGCCACCTGGCGCTGTTTCTGGAAACCGAATTAATAATAATAGCAGAAAGTGCATCACAATGTGTGCTATCTTTTGGAAGACCCACGCACAAGTTGTTACTTTTGTGGATCTCCTTTTATCTATTTATCATTTCATTCATTGTATATACTTTATTCGAAATTTCTAGGTATTGATCTTTTGTCTCTGATGTATCTTATGGATATCCTATGGACGTATTCAGGACGTTTGTTTCGGATATCTCAAGTACATCCGCATTCGGATATCTTATGGATATACATTTCATTTCCACGGATATCCCGCCTTGAATAGGACTTGAAATGGATATCCATAAGATATCCTGTGTTAACTGGGAACTTCCACGTTCTGTATAAAAAAACGGTGCATAGAAGTTTGGGCTCATGAGAACTTTTGATCACGAAACCTATTTCTCATAGGATCTTTTGTAATGTTCTGGTTCTCACGAAAAGGAATATCCTGTAATGTTCAGAGAACAAAGGAAAATAAGGTAGGATTTAGTGGCTTTCTTAAATTTCTGAAGGTTATATGCCTCGGGAAACACCTCCCTTGGCAATGTGTTCCAGGACCTCGCTGTTCGTTGGATGAACGAGTCTTTGGAAAGAGATGTACTGCAGGTCTCCAAAGAACCACGAAGGAGTGCGAAACCTCAACTAGACGGGTTATTCTCGCGGGGACTGCCAAGGAAGGAACAATTGTTGATATTTCAGAAGAGCATCGTCCATGGAAATATCTATGAAATAGAGCAAGATCGCCAACTTTTCTACGGTGTTATAGACAAGTGAGTGAGTTTGTGAGCAAGGCATAATCCACGAGACGAATTGCCCTTTTTTGGACAGAATCCAACAGTTTCAGGGTATGTTTGGATGCTGCACTCCAAATATGGGAACAGTATTCCAGGACAGGTCGGATCTGTGTCTTATAGATCATAAGCAGCTGACCGGAAGTGAAATAGGTCCTGGCTCGAAACAGAAAACCAAGTTTTTGGGATGCACTGTTAGCAATTGATCTCACGTGATTTTCACAAGGAAGATTATTGCTGATAGTAATACCAAGCATCGAATTGGATGACTTCAAAGGTATGGTTACTCCTGAAAAGCTTATGTTGGGCACAGTGAGATCGGCTTTTCTAGAGAGAAGGCATGCTTGTGTTTTGTTTGCATTGAATTCTACCAAGTTATCTGTGCGGGGTCCTTTGTTAATTTTTAGTATATCGGTGTATATCGGTCTATATCTGTGTCAAATCTGGTGTCTTGATCAAAAAGTGCACAATACATTGTTATATCTACTAATTATTGATCACTTCCGGTTTCTGAGAACGAAATAGCCACAACCACCTTAGGCTATTTGAATGCTCTATCAATCTCCATAACACGCGAGCATTTATTTTATCGCCTAGCAAAAACCTTGAAGAAAGCACTTTTTTTTCCAGATTTTTCCGTAAAATATTGAAACAGTATTTCGAAATTGGAAAATTACGAAATTTAGTCATATATAATACCACAAGTGATAATATTTTGCCGGAAATATTCGGTGATTTTTTATGAAATAGGAAACATAATTTAAGTATATTCCAACTCGAACTGCGAAGAAGAACATAATGATAGTAATGAAATACAGAATTTACTTTTTTAGAAATTAATTACCTACTTATAGTTATTCCCAAAGTGAAATGTACAATTTTGATGAATAGTATTTTTTTCATTATCTTGGAGATACAATTACTATCCAATTCAAACAAAATGAATTTAATCTATGTGACATGGAATAATTAAAAAAATATATATCGTCGCCGAGGGCTTGAACCATGGACCTTCGTATCCTCGTGCAACAACCCTAACAGTTGCGCTACATCAGCTAGTAATTATATAAGTCAGTCACAATAACTTGAGTAATTGAAGAAGATTACTTCAAAAAGGAATTTGAACTCTATTATTGTTGTGTCAGACCGTCAACAAATATGCAAACTTTTTGAATTACACATGAAACGTCCAGCCAGAATAAAATTGTCTTGCCTTTCGTACAAAATATCTCGCTATAACACGAATTATAAGTAAATAAAATAAAGTAGAAACTTAGGTTATTGTCTCAGATTTGAATCCAAAGCAATCTTGACCAGACAAGATGTCAAAATTTTATCGCTGATAAACGAGGTTAGTTGGTCACGTGTGGGTCAATTCGGCTCCTGTATTGGTAGAGCAAGTCTGATAAAATTTAATTAACAAAAAATATCCCTAGAATACAGAAGAAACCAACGAAATGGTCGATTCTGATTGGTTCTCGAGATCAATAAGAGTGGAATAGTCTCGTGAAATGAATTGAAAAAATGAATTTTTCTGACAGTTGCAGAAATAACAATGTATATGATCTCAATTGAATATGAGGAAATGTCAAAGACTTTGTCTTACCATATGCCATCTTCCTGATGATACAATACATTTTCAATGGAATCCTTCCATTTTTCTGCTAAGTCGTGCCAGACCTTCGCGTCATCATTCTTTTGCAAAATTAAATTGAATTTGTACATAACTTTGAAAGCTTTGTAGAGAAAAGCATTCAAATCCACTGGAACGATCCTTCTTGTACTGATGAAGGTGAGATTGCCAGTAGGATTTCCAGTTTTATCGAATATCCACCGACTCGTGAAATCCATGCCACTTTCTGCCCCACTTTTCAAATCTGTGTAGCACTCGAACTGAAAATAATAGTATATTACTCAACTATATTACTTAGCATAAATTACACAGTTTTGTTGTATCTTGAGCAGGAAGTCTATGCTACATAGGTGAATTCACGTCAAGAGTTGTGAGACATAATGGAATATCACTTAAATCACCTAACAGCTGATCCTCAACTGTTCAGAAAAATAATTCATTCTCAAGAAAAGAATATAGAATCGTATATTCCTCGAAACGTAGAACATTTTGAACACTTACTCTAACTGATTCAATATTTTATGTTTCTAGTCAAATATCTCTTAATTTTCTACTTATGATTCTTTGTTCCATCAATAACTTCAGCACAAGAATTATTTTATTGTTTTTGAACCTGAACATGATAGTTTTTGTCATCAGGGACTGATATAGCTATAATTCAATTGGGATTATGAAATTCAGTGGCAACCTACCGGATATTATTGTCAATAAAATGCGAGCTACTGATTTTTTTGAATTTTGTATCTTCACCACCAATTGACTAACTAAAAATACAACATTTTGGTGTCCTGAGTTGTTCCGATACCTTGCTTCATTTCCATAAAAAAAGTAAAATTTATTGCATAAATGTGTGCAAAACAATTCCATCAAAAACTGGGGTGATAATAAATGCGTGATCAATGTTCATAGACATATAACAGGTATGAAGATTAATTTATTCAAATATTTCTTGATACATGTTTGACACACTCTACACTCTGTATATTGAGAACTATGTATTCTTGGTCCAGGAAGGCGTAGTTTCCGATAATACAAATAAGTGTGTCAAACATGTATTATAAAATATTTGAAGGAAATGAACCTTCATTCTTATTCTACGTCTATGCACATGAATCACATATTTAATTTCACCCCTGTTTTTGAAGCAATATTTTCCGCAAATTCATACAATGAATTGGTATTAATTTTTTCCCACGGAAACGCAGCAAGATAGCAAAACAATTCAAGAAACCAAAATGTTGTTTTTTTTAATGATTATTAGGATATGAGAATAAAGAATATAAAAAAATCAGTGCCGCACATTTTATTGACAATAATATTCGGTAGGGTGCCCCCGGGACGCCACTGGATTTCACAATTCTAATTTAGGTATGACTAAATCAGCCCCTCATGACGAAAAATATCATTGTCATATTAGAAGAGGATTGGTAAAAGAATATTTGAGATATTCATGAAAAACCTATTTTTCTAAAAAGTTCAACACACTGTATCTTAAAAACTATGCATTTCCGGGTCCAAGTATACCGGGTGACCCGGAACCAATTTACCCCCCTGTATCTTCGTTGTTATTTTGTATGGATGTTTCAAATTCGGTACTTCGATTTTATGTTATGAATGTACAATTTAGCAAGTATCAATCCAAATATGTCACTTCCGGTTTGACCGGTAGCGCATCCAATTTTTATATTTCGAATAGGAAGTACTTTTTTTTTTTAAATTACAATTCGGTATACCTTTACAATGACATATCACAATCATACTTTCAATTCACAATCTGCTGGTATAATTGACATTTTATAAAAAAAATACTTTTTGTGTTCCTCTCGTAACGGAACATTTTCATGAAAGTATGCTGTGGAAGATTGAACAATATCATGTTAGCAACAATAATTCAATTTTCCACAGCATACTTTCATGAAAATGTTCCGTTACGAGGGGAACACAAAAAGTATTTTTTTTATAAAATGTCAATTATACCAGCAGATTGTAAATTAAGAGTATGATTGTGATAGGTCATTGTAAAGGTAATTCTATACCAAATTGTAATTTTCAAAAAAAATAATACTTCTTATTCGAAATATAAAAATTGGATGCGCTTCCGGTCAAACCGGAAGTGACATATTTGGATTGATACTTGCTAAATTGTACATTCATAACATCAAATCGAAGTACCGAATTTGAAACATCCATACAAAATAACAACGAAGATACAGGGGGGTAAATTGGTTTCGGGTATATAAAATAAATTTCATATTTTCTCATGCAGAATCATTCCCTTGATTTTTTGCGCATAATTTCTGGACACCCTATATATCCTGGAAAAATGTACTCACTTTTGTCCCACGGGAAAAAAGTAGCAATCTATGAAAAGTGACATTTCATAACCTGCCAACAGAGATGAAATGCCAAACTTCTTTCTCGTCACAGAAAAAATGACTGTTATTTAGAGATATCTCAATGATATGTGATATTTGTTCACTATTTGTAATTCCAATTATACAATAGTCGATGATACTTCATGAATGATCTCATACCAGGAATTACTGTCTCATCATTCATGTCATTCCTTCTAGGAAATTAATTATACTTTATATATAATTCATATAAAATGAATCAATGTAGAAAATAATTAAATGCAATGACTAAAATCGATGAATAAATAAATGTCCATGAAGGATACCATATGGATAGATCAAAAGTTGGAAACGCGATATCCTATGGATGTCCATTCGTCATCCAGTGTACACGAACTGGATGTCAGAGAAGTCCAAATGAGGATGTCCTCAGAAGCGTTGAAACAACAAAACATTGACAAAACGTCACGAGAATGTCATGAAAGGGTCACGCATGCATCAACATATTTTTCACGTCTCATTGACGCTCATAGACGTTTCAAAGCATGTGTGACGCATTCGTGACGTTTGCATTGCGTTAATTTCACATATTCACGATGCTTTTCAAAGTTTCAACGACTTACTGACTGCTCTATCTTGAAGCACAGATAGGTGAAAATAATTTGGGAGAGAACTCTCATCGGATCACTACTGAAGTTCACATATTCCACGCGTGTCGACTCGCATCTAGTCCGAAGATCTAGCAATATTCAGGGTGTGAATAAACGAGCGCGACAAAATTCAGGTTATTTCTTGTCATATTTTAGAGAATAAAGTTATCATCAACTTGTGTCCTAACTTGCTTTGTTATTGAGATACAGGATGTTGAAGTATCCATCAACTCCTTGTATGAGCTCCCATTGTGCCAAAATTCAGTTCTGTTGTGTCTTATTGTCAGCACCTACATTCAAATTTGGAGTAGAATCAAAAAACTAAGTGGGATACAAGATGAAAATTGGTAGTGGTTAGACATAAAAAAGGTCCTAAACTCAATATTATATGATTATATTAGTATTTCCGTGCGAGCAACTAATCGTGTCAAACGATGTGATATTCAAATGATCACTCATGACTAGTTCGAGATAATTACGAATCAATAGATGGCCTTGAAATTTGTATGCTCTCGTTATGCTCTCTCTATCTATGATATAAAAGTCAACAACAAATATATGACAACGTAACTCAGAACGTTTTTAAATCCTTATAATGAGAAACAAATCATCATTTTGAGGTATTTCATCGAGAGATTTTGATTCATGACCATTTATAGAAGGCAGAAAGGCATACATCAATAATCTCTACTTGATCTCTACATTCATCGCCTGTGGAAGTATTCCCAACAACATATTATCTCCAGAAGTTCAAAAAAAAAATCCAATACCTACCTCCTGTCCCTATCCTCCCTAGGAACGCACGATGTTCTTTGAACATTATAGGGATTCCCTTTCGTGCGCTCCAAGCGATAAAAAAAAACACTTCTACCTATAGGATATTTCGAGAATTTTCAGAATAGATTTGATTGATACTATCTCCTAGAGAAAGTATTTAATTATATTTTTAATTTCTAAACTTCTCAAAAGAATTATAGAATATCATTGCTCAATTATTCAATATATAATTGATAGGTTGATCCTAATTGCAGATTTTATGAGGGGGATATTATTTCTGATGTTGAATCATTTCGCTATTACCAATATGTTGAGGCCATGGAAAATGTATGCTTTCAAAATCTATAATATGGTAATTAATATGGTAATTATGATGTTAACTCAGTTTTTTCAAATGAAACGAGGGTGGCTCATCACCATATCTATTCTGAGAGAGGTATGTTGTTACGAACACGTTGATACCACATAGTCGATATTTTGAATCAATATCCAGTATCATAATCACTCTAGATTGAAAATTGAAAAATGAAACATTCAGGATGATATGAATCTGAAAAATTGGAAAATGGGGTGTCATTGTCCTCACAATGTCATTATCTATCGAAATAAGTAAATATATACTGGGCGTCCCATTTAAAATGAGACCATATGGGTCATTTCCGGTCGAACCGGAAGTGTGTGGAAATATGAAACATCTGTGATTCCAGATTACATTGCTACAGGGTGATGATTGAATGGATGTAAAATTGCATCGTGGTCGTCACCTCACCGTTTGAACAGATACTTTTTTTTTATTTTTTTTCTCACCTGTATCCTCTTGATTGATGCTTTCTCTCGAAACGTTTTCGGAATTTTCTAATTCAGAGCTTTGATGATCCTGTTATGAACATTCATTCAAAAACATGCATTTTTTCGAAGATTAATTGAATGAAATTGAAGTTGAAATTCTTTTTCAAAGAATCAACGTTGTATGTATAGTCGTCGAATATGTGATTGTGTTCAAACACTGAAAATTCTGAAGAAGTCTATACAAAGTGATACAAGGAATACTAAATGATGGAATGGAGTATAGCGTAGTCTTCAGTAGATGAAACATAAATTTCTCTGTGTTACTAGTGAAATAATGGAGTGTTTCTTCGTCATGAGGATGTCTGGTGTCTGACCTCGAAATGGTTTTGTAATTTCTCGGATCGAAGGTCATATAATGAAGGTACGCATTTTTATTCAATATAATGCCTTTTCGTCGAGATAAATCATAAAATTCAAAAAATTGTAGTTCCAGAAGTATAAAATTTATATTTATTCTTGACGATGGATATACAAGGTGCGATAAAAATATATGTCCAGATTGTCCCGGGATAATGAAGAATATGTTTAATGGTGATGAGAATCGCTATGTTCCGAAAAAGGAATATAGTGTCGGTCATTGTCGAAAATTGTGAGATGTATCAATACAGTAACTTTTCATGAGGCTTATAC